TGTACACAATACCTTGTCATTATTTCGATTGACCAAAGTTTGTTGATCAACTATTTTGAAATTTCGTAAAACACCCTTCGTAAAATAACCTCTTAATCAGTTACGTAGACAGCCAGCAAATTTCATAGAATCGCTGTGTAAAATCTTTGAGATCATTTTGCGCAAACTAGTTACTACCTAGTTCAAGCAAAAATTGGACAATTCAAATCATGCTTACGTACATCTAAAAACAAAACGTACCAAAAAGTTCCGTGTTACAATCAGTGATTACACTGGAAATCGTACTTGCCAGTCTTGCTTACGGATTACAAATAATCACCTAACATACATTCATGTCATTAAAACACAAATCTTTACGTTCAACTTCCGCAAGATGACAGGACATCGATGAAAGACAATGTGTCTTTATAATGGGGCTTGGTAGAGGCATCAAAACGTCTGTTTATCACTTTTATCGGACGCCGACAAGAATGTTTCGAATTGTTTGTTTTATAATATTATACAACTAAAATCTCGTCAGTTTATGAAAAGTATATTTATAATAGTAATGACTTTTATCAAATAACAAAATTTTGCCAACATGTTTTCATTGCATTATATCAAATAATAAACATCATACAACTGGGTAATTTCAAATAACCAAATTTCTCGACGGGATTTCTTATTTGATAATTTCAAATAACCAACATAACTTTTAGACACTTTGTAAGCCAAGTTACTTCACAACTGTATGAGCACCGCTACCCCTAAATAGTTGCATGACATTCCAAATAACTTGATAAAACATTGATTATCGAACAATTTCAACGTGAAATATTAACTACAACTAATCAAAATTTCATTTGATTATACTTAAAAGATTACAAAAATGTAAACAAAGTTTTCTGCTTCATATGATAGATATATTTTCTAGTTGATAAATCCGGCATGATATATTAGATCATGACAGCGATAATCTCTTTATAATATCATTTTTTAAAAGTAATTCGAATTAAAAAACGCATGAAGCGATTTTGTTTTGCAGGATTTCCACACTAAACTGCACTGAATTTTGGTAATAATAGGTACGCATGCGTACATGTGGGTAGCCTGTGAAGTAAATAAACACTAAATGAATGAGATTAAATGATCATGATTCCAATAAAACTATATATTTATGTCAAACCTGTTCAACATTTGAAAATATTGTTTAGTTATATGTCCAAGCAATATTTTATTTATTTAGATTTCTCGCGACGTTTAAAAGTTTTTACAAAGAAAACAAATAAAAAATTTGATGGAGAAGATTACATATATGAAACTTGAATTATAGTACTTCAGTGATCGCAAGTCTATCGTATTTACTGCTTATTGATTGAAATATATCATAATTCACTTGATGTAAAATTGTAAATTGGCAATCCACACAAATAAATCACACTTGTATTTCGTGCAATATTCAAAAGCAAATTAAAGACAAATATACAAGTCAATTCAAAAATTAATGTCTTTGGCTAATATTTCTAAAAATAACAACATTTTCTTATGATTATGCCACCCAAGACTCTGTGCTAATTACAAATAACTTCTGTAGTTCTGGTTGACCTTTGTACAAGGACAGACACATCGCAGCTCACACAAAGAAAAAGTATAATTATTTTAAATCTATGCTATACACGTGACTTTGTTCATTTTCATTGAAGGAATGTCGAATAAAATAAAAAAATGGAAGTAAATTAAACAACTTACAATAATTCTCCAACAAGCGACAAACGGATAAAACGGTATATTTCGTCATCGCTCGTATATCCAGCTAGCATCTAAGATTACAACAGATAGACAGAAACTTTTTCACTGTAGCAAAGTGTAGCGAAGCAGTAAGGCTAACCACAATGATTAGCCAAAGTTGTGGTTAAGTATGGTCAACTATGGTTAGCCAAAATGGTTAGACGTACGTTAGAGTAACCCTTATCCCAACCCTAACCTTAACCCTAACCTTACCCCAAGCCTAACCTTATCCTAACCCTAACCCTAACTCTAACCCTAACCTTACCCAAGCCTTTAACTTAGTCAAAACTTGCAAGCAACTACGAACTTGCTCTATGTAAGAGTTTTGAATTCGCTAATCGTATGACATTACTAGAGTTTTGAATACTTCATCTATGTTGATTTTGTGAGAAATTCTATAAACTATTTTGACTTAACAAACTGTAATTTGTAATGATCATTGAAAAACAATTATTAAATTTCTGGATTTTTCAGTTATGTGATGCGACGTACTAGACGTAATCTGGATCTTCCCTTGAGTATCTTGTGCATATGTTTGCACTTAGCATGAACATTTGCACTGGGCAAGAATTTATGCAATATAGCATTTTTTCTAGCTTCAGCGCCTTATAATTTGTAAATAATAAAGAAAAAGTAATTATTTAGTGACCTATTGAACAGTTCGTCACGTGCCGAAAATAAAAACGATATTTAAAAGTCTACGACACAAAGTATTCCGAAGCGGTCACCCATCCAAGTACTAACTTCGCCCGACAAGGCTTAAACTGGTTCTATGACGAAAACTTAACGTAAAAAAATAATCGATTTTAGCATTCAATAGTTTAAACACATGTCAATTATTGCTTTCGTAAAATGTAAGCAAAAATAATAATATAACGAGGGAGTTGTGAACATTTGAAATGTCTAATTTTCATGTCCGCCATTAAAATCGGCCATTTTTAATATTTGCAATCAGCGAAGGTCTGTGACGTCATAGTCTTAACACGGCAAGAAAGCGCACATTGGAAAGTATACTAAGTAATACATAAATAGAGCAAAAAATGTCAAATTCATTGAGATCTAGCTCGCTCTCTGAGTCTTCGATCGAGACAAACGCATCGATATCTTTATCAGAATTTGTGACGGCAAATTCGAACGAATCTAATTCGGAAATTTTGCCATTTGTCGATAATATTGAACCGCTTGCTTCGCCCTAGCTGAGTACGAAGCTACAGTTGCAGAAGAACGGCGGGTTGAAGACATGCTGCAAGATCGTTTTGATGCTCGTGTTGATGTTACTTCATGGTAAGATGTCATTCTTAGTGTGTTACTTTGATCTGAATCGTCTGCCGTTAGCTATGATAACTTTATGGAAACATACAATTGGGCCAATATTAAAAGTGTGAATGTGGCCATTGTTCGTTGGATCTTGTTGTCAACCCTCAAGAGTGCTGTTGCTGCTTGGAAATAGAGCAATGCCGTGGTAAAATGTATCAGTTCGAAATCGATGAAAGGAAATGCATTTTGGATCACCCTGGCTTTAACAAAGTTTGCCTGAACGAATTTGTTCTTCAAGCAGCTTCGTTAGGTTTAAAGACCAATGGTCATCGCATGATACAGACACTTCATTTTGTATTTCCTTTAAAACCTTAGTATAAATGTATATTATATATTGAAAGTTTGCCTGGATGTATTATTGGTTCTCTCAAATTGTGAAAATTTATCATCTGAAATATGTGTAAGTATATAATAATTGCAAATTGTGCTAACCTGATGCCGCTCTCTTGACGTTGTTGGTGTTTGTGATTTCTTCCAAATAGAAGGTACGGCACCAGGTTTGAGCCGTCTATTCATACCACCCAAATGGAATAAACGCTCAAAACCATCATCCGAGAAGTGATTCGAACAAATCATAAATTGAATTTCGCGCGAACTCGGATTAAAGTTTGCGCGCTTCGTCTGAACAAATTTAACCCAAAATCTTCTCAAAGACTCGTCGTTTGGGCTTTTTTGTAATGAAATGCTTGTACTTCTATCAGACTTATTACTGCAATCTTGCACGACACAGCGTGTTGAAGGCATGTTAAAAAAATTGAGTTATACAACCTTTTGAATCTCTATTTGTATATAGTGTTATATTGTAAACAGCCGCGAGTTAAGACTATGACGTCACAAGCACCTTCCTTCTTGAAAATTCAAATATGGAGCATTTTAATGGCGGCTCTTAAAGTTCAAGATTTATCGCTACGTAACTCGAGCAGCATGAAATACATTGCGCTAAAATTTCGCCAGAAGAGATTTTTTTACATACGCTATTAATCTATGAAAAAAAAACGAGAGGCAAAATTTTCGTCATAATACCACTTTAACTTCGGTGATCAGACGAGAACCGGTGCTTTCCTTGTGGTATGGTCGTAGACATCAGCACATTATTTTTATGGTTAATAAACCTTCCTTTAAATACATTTATGGAATTAAAAGTTTGAAAGTTGGGTCACAGAATAAGAAATGTATCTATTCTGTGGTTGGGCAAAGAACTAAGAAGTGCCACAACACTGATTACAATGGTCACATTAGTACTCAAGTTAGAGTTATGATTCATATGAACGATGCAATTCGTTATTTATATCATTTTAAGCTGAAGTGATTTTTGTATTACAGTGGTATGTAATGTCAACGGTATTTTTTTAAGCAATGTTTACTATTTGTGACTGAGATGACTATCGGTCAAACAAAATCGTAAAAATCAACATGAATTCTTTAAACTTGATACTTTAATACATAACATCAGTTATGTCATTATGTGTTTTTATCAGTTTAACTATCATGTTTAACCATATGACATGCACATTCTGTTGCTTCAAAGTAGTCGTTGGAGGCTTCTGTAATGTCTCAATTTGTAGCATTTATATATATAGGAACTACTTTTATAATTGTTTTGTCACTTTTGTGCTTATTTTTTAAATCAACTGATCAATTTTAGCAAAGGCTAAGTTGTTCTTGTTTTAAACTGTGTACTACAATTCCCAAGTTAGTATTTTGATGATTGTATAGTTAAAATTTTGTCACTTTTTCTCGCAAAAAAAAATGCAAACATCACAATTTGCAATATCTGCTTCTCTTTCAATGACTGTATTTCTTTCATTAATTTTAGCCATCTTAAATTTGCGTCATGATAACATTATGATAAGCTTATAGCAACAAAACTACTGCTAGAATCAAGAACATATTAACAGCCTAACTCATGAGACGAATTTGGAAACATTTTTTGTTATTCATATATTTAAATTAAGCAAACAAATGCTGCTTCGAAGTCATGTAAAATCACACCATATAAAAACTTGCTACCTTAATACAAAATTCAAGTCAAATTTATACTTTTCCATTGTAATGATGAATGATTTATTTATTGTCCCAAAACTTTTACAGCGCGGAACATAAAACCAGGATCGGCTCCAAGGACCAAATCATCTGCAGGACTAGTTCCTTTGACATTCCAAGGTTGTAATGACAACTTCCCCTTGCCATTACTGTATAAGTACAGATCAGGTCCACCTTCTTTTGGATCTTTATACTTTTGTAGCACAAAGAAACCATCATTTGGCGTCCTTAATTCTTTCGGAGATAGATAAAACGAGCTTGAGCTCTAAAAATTAAAAGCAGTGTCAATTCTTTTTACCATTTTTATCAAATTTTTTTAAGTCATAGCTATAATTTTCCTTCCTTTTACGACTACACCTTTGAAAGTCCAAAGAATTTTCTCAATTAACTTTATTTGGTTTCCTGATTCTGACACATTAGGGGGTGGCGTGGGGGTGGGTGATGGTGTATATTCATATATTCTGTTGTGACCTACTGCTTTCTTTTGAAAATGATTTGAAACAAATAAATATTTTGTATTTAACTGCATGTACTAGTTGAAATTTAAGGATTCCACTTTAATCAGGAGCAAATAAACCAAACGTAGTTAATACCTTTGTATTGGAAACTACAAGATATAATTATTAGAGTCATAATTTGAGTTTTCCATCAAAGTCTGTCCAAGCTGTCAGTACGAGTAAATGCTTCTAGTGGACTTAATATAAAACATATAATAAACAAAAAATTTTTTGCAAACCAACAACGAAAGCATTCCATAATTTTTGTTCAATGTCAGCTTTCTAAAATATTTCAATTTGACGTAGAAACTCGAACAAAACTCAGCCTCATCCAGTCGCATCCTGGAACAATGCTGCTTTAATTTCCTAAATGATCTCGTTTATTCTTCTGACTATCCCAAAATTTTAAGACAATTTTATTTACAATATAAATATTTAAGTGTAAAAGTCACTTCTTACGATATTGATATCATCTGAGCAAAAAGTGTTTTCATTACCACAAAACGTCTATTTTCCTCTTTCACTTTAAACATTTAGGTCATTCAAAAAGAGATACCTTCCAAAGCTGCATAACTGTGACGAGATAAATTTGTCTTAAGAAGGACTTTCAGTATTTTAAAAAAATCTCATTTCATTCATATGCGAAGGAGAGACTTAAAATTTGAGAGGTTTTTTTGGTAAGACGTGAAATTTCTTTATACACTTCTATTAAAGTCTTCAAGCTACCCATTCCTTTGCATGAATTTTGCCAACTATTTTGTTCAAAACTTAGAGGAACGACTGTTGCTCTCCTTGCAACAAGCCCTCCACACATATAAGATTCAATGCAAAACACAAACCATGCTATAAGTTCTTGTTTACCATATAATCATATAATATCAAATACACGTTTACGGAAGTGTTATAATCATATTGTATTCTAAGTATGTATAATATGCTCTAAGTGCGTTCATATAGCTTAAGCACTCTCGGAATTGTTTAAAGAGAGTGTTAATAATACGTACTCTTCTAGTTAGTAACCCACCCAATGCTCAAATTTAAAACTTAAGCACTCGGGAGAGTGTATAGTTATACAAATTGTATTATTTATATTATATAAATATGATTTATATTTAGCTCTGCTAAAATGCATTGAGTAATCTACAACTGAAGAATCAAAATCTAATTTTCAATAAATGTACTTTTTACGCATAACGGATTATGGTTTATGATGTCTGTCCATGACTGCATGCACAAATAATAATCACTGCGTTGTACAATATACAGGTAACATTTTATTTCAAACAGCTTAATAATGCACAGGACTTTTTCTTTACAGAACTGCAATTTTTAATTCTCATTCCTATTTTTGCAGAGTTTCTAACTAAAAATTTTTCAATATTTGAAGTATTTATAAAAAGCAAAAATTGAATATTATACCTTTTTCACTGCAAAAATTTTGCCATTCTTTTCATCTAAACAGTACGTCTCTTCATTTTTTGCAAACAGCAGGTTGTAAAAATCTGCCTCGTGCTTATCCTGAGCTTTTGCAAAAGTTATCAATGCTTCAGCTAAGAAAAAAGATTGTACATTAAATTGCTACAGCACGAATCCAGAGTATCAGCTTAATGATAAGATAGCAAATTGCATGTATCACATAGCAATAAATTATTGCACGTTAATGATAACAGCCCAAGTTATGAAATTTTCCAACATCTGAAGTTAAGCTGATGAGAAATCTTTTTTTAGCATTCATAAATGCAGTCCGAACAAAATCATTATTGCAACAAAGCATTATTGAAGCTTAACACAGGAAATTCGAACCACATGCAAGCTGCACCATATACTTTAACATATCGATTTTAGAAACTATGTCAAACCTCGTTACTATTTGACTTTTTCTTAACCGGCTTTTACTGGCGTCACTAATTGTACAAACTGTTATTTGTTGATATGACGTCATAATTACAGATATCGAGAATGATTTGCAATTAATTGACCAATCACAACCGACATTGTTTACATAGCGAGTATAATAATACTAATTGGCTTGTATGGACCGTGTGCATTTTTTAAGCAAATAAACACATGTAAATTTATCGTGCAAATGTTTTTTATACTGTTTGCAATTTACTAATTACTTTTTCCCAAGGCTTCAAAGATGTATATGCTTTATTAACAGCATTTTCTGGTTGGGAAAAATCATTGCATACCTTTTATTACAAGATCATTAATAAGTTTATAAATTCTATAAGTTTTCATGTTAAAAAAAGTTTTGGTGCCATTTCTTCCTAGGAAATTTGAGTTTCTCTGATGATTCAAAAATAAATGAAAATTCACCACAAACTTTCCAATAAAGTAAATCGCTTGAACCCGCGAGTACCGTCAATAACAAAAATAAAACAAGGAAGAAACGAGCTAAAAATTGGCAATCTCAAAATTCATTAGTCCTTTTTTGAGATTTATACAATTGAACATGACCTAATTTTTTAGCACTTGAAAATTTGGTGCTCTTAAAATTACTATTTGTTACACACCATGCCTATTTTATAATAAGTCAGCTATTCCTTTGAATAATAATTATCAATCAACGGTGCATGTTTTATGTTTGTAAAATTTGCATTGGTAATAACATGAAAAAAAAGTCTACTAGATTGATTTATGTGAAATTAATGTAAATGCCGTGACAATACCAAGAAAAAATATACCTTCAGATTCTCCATTCGCTTTTACTTTACCTATGGAAACTGCAATGCAAAAAATATCAATCAGGCAGAAACATATCAAGTGCAAAACAAGAATGTTAAGGGTGGGGAGGGGTAGTAAATACTCATATATTCCAGTATAAAAATTTCACATTTAATTTCATATATGAAACAGGAATTTCAATATGAAATAGACAGGGGGGTTATTCGAAGTGGGCATATCAACTTTCTAATGTAAGCCGTCGTCTATAGTTTGTCAGTGCTGTAGGTAATGCATTTTGCCGAGTCCCAGTTAATGTTGTGTGTTGTCAGTCGGTGATGTTCGGCAATGTGATTAGTTTTGTCTTGTTTCGTTGTTGCTCGTTTGTGTTCAGTAAGTCGTATGTTTAAGTTCCTGCCAGTTTCCCCGATATAGGAGGCATGACAGTCGGAACAGTTTATTTTGTAAACTGCACCTTGTCGTTCGTTAAGTTGTTCTCGTCCTTGATGTTCGTAAGTACTTGTCGTAGCGTTGTGATTAGTTTATGTGAGACACGTATGTTGTATGGTCGTAAATTACGCGAGATAGTCTCAGACGTACCTCTGATATAAGATACCGTTGCTGGTGTTTTTGAGTTGTTTGTTTCGTTCGTTTTATTGTGCTTGTAAATGTTGCGTTTGATAAAGTCAGAGTTATAGTTGTTTTATATTTGGCATATACATTATCAGAAAGCACGCATGCTGTTTTCAAATTTGATAAAATTAACCAATGGTGGTTGTCAGATCTCCAGCCTCGCATTCAACATTTTAGTCTTATTTGGCCATCTTTTTTAACATTCGTGAATGAAAGTCAAGCGGGGGCACTTTTCACTCATGATTTCTTTGAAGGAGAATAAAGTTTTAGAACTATTGAAGTGCAAGAATAACGATTCACTCAGTAAGTTCAAGAGGAAGTTCAGTGGTTTGTTAAAAATATTAAGACAAAACGACTACTTAGTAAGTTTTCGTCAAGATTTTAAAAGAAACAAACTGCTAGCGGTAGAAACTACCAGGATGGCAGTTATTCAATACACGAATGTCCTCTACCTGAGTAGTTATCGTGCAGCTTTGTCACACTTTTGTCACAGAGCTCTTATCCGTGCCAGTTAGTTTCCAGTCCCCATGAAGTTGATCGGTGCGCGCGCATGTCAACCGGAAATAGGGTTTAATAAACATGGCATGGCATTGGTTGGCGTGAAAATCGGAAATACGACAAAGCTGGAAGTTGCATGCTATTGACAAAGCAACATTAGATCCGCCTTATGTTTTATTGGTTAATAAACCGGATCTATGTCATTGTGTATTCATTCTTCAAACTATATAGTCGAACTATCGTCTTAAAAAATGTTATTTGCGTTGTTTATTGTTGCATTGCTTTTGGACGTTTTGAAAAAAAACAAAAAATATGGCACACATGTTTAATCAGATATATGCAGACACTGTTGAGTTTGAAGAAGTTAGTCACAGCGATCTTATCAATTTGATTTTCGTCGATTTTATAAGTAAAAAGATTCAAGAGCTACGAAGAGCTGAAAAGGATGAAAGTAAAGCAGACCCTTGGACGGAGTATCAAAACGTTTTAGAAATGATGGCTGAGGAAGATCGGTGGTTCAATTTTGCAGCTCGTGCAGTCGAAACAATCAATCGCGAACATGTCTGGAATGGAATATGTGAAGCCTTTAAGTTTCTAAAGTACAGTGGACCTTCGAACTCTCACAAGACATATTTTGACAAACTGTTTAGTGTTACTTGGGTAGAACTAATGTTAATGTACACGGAGACAAAACGTCCTCCTTTTATCAACATCTCTTTGACTATGCTGATTGTAGTTGTAAACTGAAATACAGATCAACTATGTGTAATTGCTTTGACAAAAAAATAAAATATAAATTTCAATGTTATTGCATTTTGTCTTCAGTTGTTTTATGACCATGTCATTGTGAAAATGGGGATCGGTAGCAGCAAACGTGAAAATAGAAATGCAAAAAGGGATAAAAATCATAATCGTCAGAAAATGTTTCGCTTGGGTATAAGTTTCGGACGCAACGATCTCAATCTTGAGGGTCATTTGCAAGCAGGATACACAAGTAAAACTGTTAAAATATATGGACCCGCCGCAATTAAACTTCCAACAGATAATGCGATAGAAGAAACACTGCCTGTAACTGAAAACATTGAACCCATCGATAATGAGTAGTTAAAAGAAATTGACATCTAATTGCAAAATTATTATCACGAGAACATTGTCATGAGTAACGTTGACCGGTACTTAGCCGGTGTATACTTCAATCCAAAACGCCCTGGAAGCTACGGAGGTGTTGAACGTTTGTACCGCGATGTAAAGGCAGAAGGAATATATGACATTAGTCGTGAAAGAATTAAAGAATGGCTCATGCAACAAGACGCATACTCTTTGCATAAACCTATTCGAAGAAAGTTTGAAAGAAATCGTGTCGTAGTGAGTGGTATTGACGACCAGTGGCAATTGGATCTTGCAGACATGCAATCTTTGCAAAAGTATAATGATGGTTATCGCTATCTTCTTATCTGTATTGATGTTTTTCCAAATATGCATGGGCTGTTCCATTAAAAAGAAAACAGGATCGTCGTTGGTAGAAGCTTTTAAAAGATTTTGTCATCAGGACGTAAACCGACACACATTCAAACGGATCAAGGCTCGGAGTTTTTTAATCGAGACTTTAAGAAACTTTTGGCAGAAGAAAACGTTACCTTGTTTAATACATTTAACGAGACGAAGGCATCCATCGTTGAACGTTTGATACGTACACTGAAAACTAAAATGTGGCGCTACTTCACAGCAAACAAAACAATGAGATACATTGACATGCTTCCTGATCTACTGTATTCTTATAATCATAGCATGCATCGCAGCATTAAGGAAAAACCGATCAACGTTACAAGTGAAAATGAAGATAGAATTCGGCAAAATTTATATGGTGATAGCAAATTAAATAAACCTACGCATGTAAAATATAAGTTTGATATAGGTGACCAAGTACGAATAAGTAAAATAAAACGAAGGTTTGAGAAGGGGTATTTACCGAATTTTTCAAAAGAAATTTTCACTGTAAGTCAAAAAATACCGCGCAATCCTCCTGTATACAGACTGAAAGATCATGAAGGGGACGAACTTCAAGGAACATTTTATGAAAAAGAACTTCAAAAAGTCATCAAGAAAGACGATGTTTATGAGATTGAAAAAATACTTAAGAAACGTGGTAGAGGGGGCAATGTACAATATTTTGTAAAGTGGTCTGGCTACCCTAACAAATTTAATTCATGGGTACCAGCATCGGAAATACATATATAAAACGTAACCGTTTTCATGATTTTTTCATTTCACATTATACCTTAAAGATGAGCGGGACACACTTCTATCTGACATTACCTAGTAATGCATCTCTCTCTGTATTTCCTGAGAATAAGATTTCAGGTTATCGCGTAAAACTACCTCACGTTGTGAATTTAAATGGTAATTGGGAAGTAGGATTGTATTCAATTACATATCCTCATACATGGTACACGTTGAAAAAAGGTTTGGATACACATATATATGTAACTCACAAAACAGGTCTACCTACTCCGGTATTTGTCGACTATGGCCTGTATGAAAAGCCTTCGACCTAGTAAAATCAGTTAATGAGACTCTTGACAAAGTAAAAGACAATATCAAATTGAGCTTTGACCCCGAACAGAAAAAATTAAAGTGCATGTAAGACAGGGTTACAAAATATCATTTAATCAACGAATGTCGGTCTTACTCGGTTTTGGCGGAAAAGACGTAGAGATTTTAAAAACAACCGAAAGCCCTTATGCTTCTGATTTGCACGGATCCGTCATGATGTATGTATATTGCAACATTGTACAACCGCAAGTTGTTGGAGACGTCAATGTAAAATTACTAAAGGCAGTTACCATTCAAGGAAAATATGGAGACATTGTTTCAAGAACATTCACTAATATCAATACATACCTGTGCAAACAAAATCTTTTGAGGACATCGAAATTCTCTTAAGGGACGAGTTAGGAAACCCCATCGCATTTGAACGAGGGAAGTCGATAGTGACACTTCATTTCAGAAAGCAAGCTTCGTCTTATTTTACATAAGAAATATGACTCTAACAAATCGTTATGTTCAATATTATCTCAACCAACAACGAGGATACGGTTCATCACCAGTGTTTAAAGGAGCACCTTGGCAAAGAGGATATGGGCAAGTGGGTTATGGTCTTGGTGGCTTATTTCGCAGTTTAGCTAGAGCTGTAATACCTCTGGCAAAAAGCGGTGCAAAAGCTCTGGGTAAAATTGCTCTTAACACAGGAGCAAACGTTTTAGGCGATGTTATCTCGGGAAAAGTGTGAAAGAGTCTGCAAAATCGCGAGTAAATCAGGCTGCTAAAGATGTGGGGAAAATGGCTGTAAACAGAATGCAGCAGTTTGCTCAAACAGGAAGAGGAAAGTCTTCAAAGAAACGGTCAAGAAAACCAGCTAAAAAGAGAAAGGCGACGACTTCCATTGCCATTCACAGTTCAGCCAAGAGACGTAAAGCAGCTAAAGAAGCAGAGGACATTTTCGGCTAAATATGGATTTCGTTCATCCAAAATCTGCAGAATGTACAAAACCGAACTTGATTTATTTTCTGTCCCACCAACACAAGTCAGTTTAGAAAAGGGCATTGGATTGATCATCAACCTGTGTCCAGCGTATCTGAAAATGGACCAATTACATTTTAGCGCCCGGCACTGAAGATTATGTTGACATGTCTAAGACAATATTGGTAGCTAGAGCGAAAGTAACAAAAGCCGATGGTGGGGATATCGATGATGACACTAAAGTTGGACCTGTAAACAATTTCTTGCACAGTTTGTTCAAGCAAGTTGACGTGTTTCTAAAAGGAAAGTTAGTTACACAAGCAACAGGAACATATCCATATCGTGCATATCTCGGAACACTTTTAAATTATGGTCCGTCAGCCAAACAATCCCAGCTCACCGCTGCGTTATTTTACAAAGATACTGCAGGTCAGATGGATAATGCAGATCCTGCTCACGCAAGTCCAAACAGGGGTTTGAAGACAAGAAATAAGTTTATCATGGGAAGTAAAATTGTTGATATGGCAGGTCCTATCTTTTGCGATGTTTTCTTTGGTGAACGTTACTTACTTAGCTATGTTGATTTGAAAGTGGTCATGAACCGTACCAGTGACGAATTTGTCTTAATGTCATCGGTGGACGGTGCAGCCTTTAGAGTGAAACTGATAGATGCATACCTTAAAGTTCGTAAAGTCAAAGTGAATCCTAGTATATCTCTGGCTCACGAAGTTGCCCTGAAAAAGGTCCAGCCATTTACCCGTAAGACGTGTGGACTGTAAAAGTTTTATTATTCCTTCTGGAAACCCTTCGCTGCAAAAAGATAACCTTTTCAATGGTTTAGTGCCTAAATCGTTTGTTTTCGGTCTTGTTGAAAGTGCGTCATTCAACGGAGCTTATAAAAGAACCCATTCAATTTCCAACATTTCAACATTTCATCGTTAGGCATTTCAATAAATGGTGAATCTGTACCATTTAAACCAATCAATTTGTCCTTTGGCGCGAATCCAAGATTTATAGAAGCATTTCTATCGCAGTTTTCAGGCACTGGGAAAATGTATTACGACACAGGCAATGGCATTACGCGTGAAGATTTCCCAAACGGTTTTGCCCTGTTCGGCGCGGACTTTACCCCGATATGTGCAGTGCATCCGAACATTTTAACACGGTGCAAAAGGAAACCTGGCCATTGACTTACAATTCTCGACACCGCCAACTCATGCAGTTAGCCTTGTGTGCTATGGAGAGTTTGAAAATATAATACAAATCGATGGAGAGAAATGTCGTTTATGACTACATTGGATAAATGAACACCTCACAAATATGGACCGCTTTGAAATCCGATCCGGTAACAGGAAAAAATTTCTCGGTGTTTTTCCAGCCGACCGTTTGCCTAAAGAAATCGAAAGCTACCCAAAGGATTTATCGCAAACACGGATGTAAGCGGAAAACCGGGGACCCATTGGGTTGCCTTTTACTTTCCTTCAGAAGAAAAGCCGAATTCTTCGATAGCTATGGACAACCACCAGGGCGATATCATAAGTTCTTTAGAGATTATTTGAAACATTATGATTGGGGGTTTAATAAACGTCAATTGCAAAGTATCTGGACGGATGTATGTGGACAATATTGTATATTTTACCTCAGCCATAGAGTGCGAGGATATAGCATGAATAAGATTGTAAACATGTTTGATGGTAATACTGTTGAGAACGATAACAAGGTATCAAGTTTCGTTAGCAGACATTTTCATATAGAAACTAGTGTAACCCTAAACGATAGCATTCAGTCAAGTATAAAATTTGTTGTAAAAGCTTGAGCCGTTTATTATCAATAAAATTTCTTTGTGTAAGCTAATTGCCTGTGTTTTCTATTTGCATATTCTAATGATAACAGTCAGGAAATTGATATCAACTGCTCTATTTATTTAAACAAAACAAATCTTTACATGTCAAATTTTAATAGTCTATCCAACGTAAGCGAGTTTTCTTTAGTGTAGGGGTGGCTTTAGGTGTTGTCATTTTCGTTCTTGAGCCTCTGTGGTAGGCTATTCCGTCTTCTTCATCGGGCGAAGTTTCCATTTGAGCTTCTTCCCATCTTACATCGTTCCGAACCAAATCACGAGGAATGTTTATTTTTGATAAAACGCGAAAGAATTCTCTAGAACCTGTAGGATTGAAATTCTTTCTCCCTCTTACGGCGTCGCTAATGAGGTCTGATATATTTGATTGAGGAATAATAACACCGTCAAGTTTGACTTGTCCTGAATCATCCCAAGTTATTATATCTGGTTTTGTTTTGAGACGCTGCAGTATTGCTGTTGCGCGTTCACGCATCGTCTTCGGCACACTTTGTACAATGACGGAGTCAGCTAATGTACGCACTTCGTTGTTTATTACCGTGTTTCTTTCTTCCCCGTCGGTTGTATCCATCACGCGTACTGTGGGTATCTGAATATCTTTTTGTTTCTTCAAATTAAGGAATTGCTCAAAGTTTGTGTTGAAAAGTTTTTGCCTTTGATCGTCACTTAAACCGTCTTGGTGAAGGATGTGTGAGAGTTGAGTATCTTTTTGCATCATGTTCATCGTAATTGGCGAAACTTCAAATTTTTGCTTTTGTTCATATTTATTATAAACGTCTTCAGGTACTAAAATCATTCGCTTGGCATGCTTCATTATTTCAGCAAACTCCCTAGAACGTTCAAAACCGGTGGTAGGAAGGCGCTCAGTAGATTTCCTCCTTTTTGATTTAAAAGTTTTTCTTTTAGCTCTTGAAATTCTCTTGTTCGCTAAGGCTCTGAGATGTTTCTTATACCTCAACAAGCGTCGTTTTTGACTCGCAGATATCGGTACAGTTCCTTTTAACACATTAACTGCGCATTCACAAATACACAACATGACATCAGATGGTCCATGTTCGATGATAACCTTTCGAATTTTCGGCTTAGATTTTGCAAGTACTTGTAGGTATGGAAGATTGCTCCTAATTCGTTTAGACATGGTGCTTAAATGACTGTTGATGTCGATGCTTATCACTTATGTACATAGACAATCTGCTTTTCACCGGGCAAGATATTTGTTCTGACACGCATATTGTCAGATGTGAGTTGATGCAAATCGAGCAAAAGATAACCGTAAGGGCGGCATGTGGCGTCTTGAAATGACTCCAAAAGGTAATTCGTTTTCTTTGGGTACATTTGGCGTGCCAATGTTGCGATACCTAGCGAATCTCTGGGGTTTTTAAAAATGATCATGTAGTGGGGATTTAAGCTGATTGTTCGGGATTGTTTACCAGGCGGAAATAAATTTTGTGTTAGATACATGACAGAGACGCCACGGTGATGTGACCCACGGGTAAATAAATCGGACATTCGTTGATCGCTAGAACATTCTGACATCAAATCGTCAACGACCACTAAAGAGTTTTGACAACCTTCCAGAATATCAAATAAGTTGTCAGGGAATCCTTCGACGAAGCAAATGTTTGGAATTTTCGATTCCATTTCACCAAATTCACTTTGCCGTTCGCCATAACAGTAAATAATCTTATTCGGAACGGGATAAAAAAGTTCATTTAAATTATAAAGCATCGACCTAACCAAATAGCTTTTGCCCGACTGACTTTGACCACACACATAAAAGTTGGCAGGTGTTCTAAAACGTACGTCCATTGTCTCGCAAATAAAAGCAAACATGCTCTGCTTTCACTTTTATAACCACTCGCGCTAGTAAGCATTTTGACATATTCAAAGAAAGACGGTATGATTCGACTAGCTTGAATGGGAGGTATTTGTAGAATAGTGAACAAAGTGCACACAATAAGAATACATTGGACAATGAACAATTTTTATTAAATATTTTTCTAATTATTTACATCATTCAGACAACAAAAATCTCTTTTGATTACATATGAACACAACATACTTTAGCAGATATTTATGACAGAAAATTTTAAAAATCACTTGAGGGTTTACTTTAAAACCTCACAAGCAAAGGCATGTCTTTTAATCGTTCATTCATTTTGTAACTGCATTCATAGTTCGCAACATTCATAGTTCACAAGAGTTGTTTGTAACTTTTCTAATTTTCCATAATGAATTCCTTGCTGCCTGTATGTTTTTTCCTTATGGCTGCGTGTGCAAACCATGGTGAAAAATGCAGTTATGTGAAGCGATATCATATGTTAGATTGTTCTAACATGGATCTCGAGCATGTTCCTGTCGGAACGGTAAAAGATGTACGAATACGGATTTTGTCGTTGAGACGAAACAACATTAAAGTTGTGAATGAACTGGATGTTATTCGTGCGTACCCAAGACTTATGTACATTGATTTACGTGAAAACCCTCTGTCATGTCCTGCCAATTTCTCAATGTTAAATGTGTTGTTTGATCCGTGTCCAGCCCGAAAGAAAGATTTATATTTGTTGTCTGTGAACTCATTTTCGCCTGTGACACAACTTTCTTCGTATACGTCAACCACAAGCAATCGTCTACCTCAGTCATCAGTCAGTTTTTCTCTTCTACCATCGTCGTTGATTATGTCCACCTCATGTAACTCATCTCACGTTCCGTCGTCCCGCCAAAAGTTTTATGTTCGCCACTCACGGATTTTTTTAACATGTCAACCTCCATTTCAACCTCATCACCGTCGCTGTTGTTATTGTCTACATCTTTACTGCTGTCGCCGTCAACGTCGTCAACACCTCCACATTCAACGATATCATTCTCAACTTCAAAGTCATCGCCTCTGTTGTCGTTATTACCACTGTTACCCTCACTATCACCATCAGCATCATCACCGTTTCATTCGCAGCTGACGTCTTCGTCTTTATCGTTATCACCGTCACTGTCAGAATCAATGGTATCGCCTTCATCGTTCATGTATTTAGTTCCACCAGCGAAAGAAACAACTGTCAACTTTTATGTGTTGGTTCCTTCTACGATAGTTTCCATATTTGTCTGTATAACGTTGATGTATTGCATGGCTCGCAATTGTCGTCGCTGTTTCCCGTCTGTACATACCGACCACATAGAAATGACTGCGTATCGTGTTCAATCATCGTTAGCCTTGTCCAGTGTAGAAATGTGTCAAACAACCTCAGTCTAAAAATATGTATATTTGTTTGTTAGTTTACATGTCATTGATTCGAAACTGTTTAACTATTCAACGCTGTTTGATTATATGCATGTCACTTTATTAATTTACCTGTCTCGACTCTATACTTGATTATCAATCTGTCTGTAAAACGAAAGTTCACTGTCGGAGTGATCAATGTCGTCAAGAAACTCAACATCGGATTGTCTTTCGGAAAAGCTTTCTTCGTCTTCAGAGTTGGTTTCCATTAAATCAATCGACTCGCTGCATTCACCTTGACCTGTCATACATTCTTTGTAATTTTCTAGCGCAGTTGGATGCACGGATGTGAATAAAATATCATTAGCCATGACTTCGCGTGCGATCTGAGGTAAACTGTTGGAAATTTCCGCTGACTGAAACCAATTATAGCCGTAGGGAATAGTGTTGGCACCTCCGTCTATTATTATACGTTTGTCAAAGACAACTTGATATTTCTTACTTTGATTTTTATTTACAAGTTTATGCGACCATTTCTCCCTGACTATTTTACTTTCTTCTATTTGTACAGTTGACGGTTTTTCAACATAATTATAAATCATATCTTTTAACGTGTCGAAGTTTAAAAGCAAGCTATTTTTAAAATTCAATGTAAAGCCTCTTATTTTACAGTGTTGTTCACCATTACTAACTGTAAAAGCATAATTCTTAGGACCCCCACAGACAAATTCAGTAATGTGCTCGCCTTCACCAATTTCATCGGTCAAATCTCCTAAATAGTCTCCTAAAGGAGGCTTTGGAGAATCAGGCTTTGCAACATACACGCAGCTGTCTGTGTCTGCATAGAGCAAATTTTGTCCTAGTAAATCTAACAAACTGTAGAGCTCCAAACGTGCCCATGCAGTTGTAAAAATACCTATAAAAATATTTGTTGTTTTATTTTCTTTCTGAAACTCCCAATCACGCTTATATACAACTTCGACTAAATCGTCATTCAGTAATTGCATGTCGTGAATTTCAGTGTCTGCACTATTTAGTCGTTTGTAAAATACAAGCGGATCGTGAATAAACTCCGTAATTAACATATCATTACGTTGTGCAAATTTACCCCAAAGCGAGTTTAAACAAAGTTTTGCTAGCGCTCTTAACCCTGGATTTTTCACAATTTTTTCCTTACGCAATAGAATTCCCTCGTGCTTTAGATAGTCGTCGATATATTTTGCCCGGTCTGCGTCTGAGTTTACCCAATCCGGAAAGCCCGAAGCTTCTTGTTTCAACCGCAAAAAGAAATTTACATATTCACTAAATAAACTGTCCGATGTTTCTTCAAAATGCCAAATTTCATGCACCTCCAAAATTTTGTAGCCTTTTTCGATTGCCTTGTTCATTTCAATGGTCGTAAACGTCCCGCAAAATGAACGCTGGTTTTCGGAATGATGACATTCCGCCGAGGAATTTACAGCACATCGCTTACACAATGGAAACATTAATTTACCATTAACTTTCATCGGGAGCACAGGATGATACAAGCCTGCCGGTGCCAAAACGCGGCACTTAATCAAACCGAAGTAATTTGAAAGATCTTCAAAATTTTTGCGAATAATTGTAGGGTGACCTATAGGATAACGGCGATTTTTCATAACGAATGGATAAAGACTTGTAAAATCGTTATAAAAGATTTTCTCATTTTCTTCGGCCTTACGAAACAGTCTGAAACCCTCAACTCTTCCACCAAAAAAGCTATCGGCAGGGTAAAGGTCTGTTATAAATTCATGTGTGTTTAAAAAATGTTGCATTTGAGGAGTTTGTCTGAGTTGCTTGAAATCATGCTCCCATATGGTTTTTACTTTATATCCTAACTCCGTTAATCTTTTTTCACGCTCAATGGTTCGGTTATATGCTTCTCTTAGCGTTGTACCTGCACGGTAAGGATTTTCACTCTTCAAATCCAGGCATAAAGGGCAGCCGTGATAAACTTTTCCGTAGAACTCATACACGGTGTTTGTGTCTTCACAAAATCCATCGACATAATAATGTTTGTTTAACAACGAGTCATAAATAACTTTCTCCCCCCCATTATGAAGAGCGTGTTTGATATTACTTTTTGTTTGAAAGGAAACAAACTCCAGCCACTCAATGGCACTGTTTGAATACGGTTTATTGCTATCACGATAAAAATTCTTAGGTACAATGCCGATGGTTTTTTCTTTTAAATAGTTTGAACGAAACACTGCCATGACCGAAGACGCAATTGTACAATAACAAAATGGGTCTACACGTGTTTCGACCAAAAACAACTTTCTGAATTCCATACAACACAAACGCAAAATAGTTACATCTTGAGAACAGTATTTGTACATTTCTTTTTGAAAGTCGAAAACGTATCCCTCATCAATTAAATTCTGATGCCATGCAATTAGCTCATCTCTTTTACGTTTTGACTTTGTGTCGGGGCTATAATATTCAAGAGCCGGAATAGGTCCAACGTATTTCTGATTTTCTCGTGTGTTAAATTTAAAAGGGAAATCGCCTTTCGAATACATCGACAGATCTAACCCAAACGTTTTAGGCAAATCGGAAAGAGGCATACACAGGAAGTTTAACGAGTCGATTAGCGTCATCTGATAATCTTTTAAAATTAGTTGCATTACTTTCTGACCCGAATGAATGACATGCATATCAGATGTCGGTCGATATTGTATGAGCCATTTTTGAATGATAACAGCGTCAAATCCTTTGGCATTATGGGCAATTGCTGTATAGCCTATATGCCCTCTTGAAAACAGAAACTCACAAAAATCATTTAATGCATTGTATCCTTTGAAAACACGTTCGTCACCTGAAGCATACTGTAAAACTGCAAAATTCACAACGTGCTCACCGCTTGTAAAATCTGTTTCAAAATCGTAGAAAAGGAGTTTAACATTTGGCTTTTTTGCTGGTTCGGGTTGAATAAAACATAAATGCCCACTAACAACCAACTGTTTGCAGATATGACACTTAAATTCACCGCACTTGTGTTCGTCTTGTCTATTTCTGTTGACAATGACACTGCATGTACGACATTTATACGTGCTGTCACATTTTGAGGGAAGATCAAGTCCTTTTAATCTACGTTGTTTTTTATGTAGGTTGTAACATGCATTTGATCGGCAGGTCTTATAACAGTCAGGGCATTCATGCTGTTCCGATTCAATTAATGCACATCCTTTGCGTAAACATGTGCTGCAGACATCAAAACATGGGTGATCAATATAGCTGCTTACAAAGCTTGAACACTGTTCACAGTAAAATCTTTTACCGAAAAAAGCTGGGAGCTTTACCGGATTGATAACATTGAAATGATCTCCGTGTTTGTATAGCATTAGCTTTTTTACTCTTCTAGGCCCCTCATATATTGAAGTGTTTCGTGCATCAAAGTCTATTACAATAATTTGATAGTCTGAAAGAACACCTTGAAACTTTGAAATTTCCCTCAATCCGCATTTACCCGGCAAAATATTGGCACGTTTATGCAGCTTTAAGGCTAATTTTTTTTGTATAGGTCTACCCATCTTCATTTGTTTTAATTTAGGATGGTGGTCAGCCATCCCTATGGCTACAACTAAAGCCCGAGCGCAGCATAGGTTATCATTATTCTTGATAGTTACAATCGATTTTTTTAAAGTACTGTCTTTAGAGTAATCTAAGACTTTGAGGGCCTTACCACTCCCAACAGGCGCTTTTACACCAATAAGGTCGATGATAAACGAGTTGTCCAAAGGAATCTGCTCATTACTCTGCAAAGTTTTTGTAATTTCACCCAAAATTTTGTTAGAGTTAATTTCAGCGGCAGGAAGAAGCTTAGTGCTGATTGGTGTTTTCAAAGCATCCGATCTAATCATTACACGAAGCCGATCTTCCAATGGTGTTCTAAAATCACACTGTTCTTTTACCTAGGAACATTAACATAAAAATTAAAAAGATGCTTTGTGTCACACAGCGCTTTTTTTCACTCTTACCTGACGAATGGCGTCGTCAAACAAGCCATCGAGCTCAGTCATTATGTCTTTGACTTTTATTTGCTTATCGCGAACGGATAGATCGTCTAACTTAGCACGGAATATACATGACTTTGCGCCAAATTTACGAACATATCGTTCCGAAACTTTTTCAAGCACAAAGTTAACAGATTTTTCATCATTTTTAGTTTGATTTTTTATGTTGTTTCTTTCTTCCACAAGTTCAACACTTTGCTGCAACAACTTCGTTGATTTTTTTACCCATTTTAACACTTTTGAAATATCTGTTTTATCTTTAGAGATTTCTTTCTGAACTTTTTTCAGCAAACGTTTTGTCTTTACATTTTTTCTGATGGCTCGAACACGTAAACGCTCTAGATACTCTTTTTCTCCCATGATCATCTGGCGATGATTTTCATGCAGTAATGGCAATTTGTGAAATCATGCTTCATTTTATAGTATATGTTCATTGAACTCCTACAGAGTAATTGAATACTTACAAACAGGCAGCATATTCAGCTGTTCAGGAAGGTATTGTGTGTGTGTAATGAACAAACACTCACAGCGATACATTAAAAAAATTTATTGCGTGAATTTTTTATAGTTAGATACAGTGATCAACCTTTCGTGCATGCATTGTTGTTATTGCTTAACGTTTCGTGTTTATTCATCGTCCTGGAATGGGTTGGTCCTTTTTTTCTGTTTCTTAACGGCGACCGTTTTAGGTTCCTTTTCTTTAGGCTCTTTCCTCTTACGGTCATTCAGTTCGACCTTCCTTTTTTTCATAATGATCTTGCTATTCATAGTCAGGTCGCCCCAATGGAAGAAGCTACATTTTTCTCCGTCGACGATAGATTGACAACGAAAATAGGGCCTTTCAGGATTATTGCTCGATTGGGAGACCATGAGACTACCTGGATAACCGCATTGGCACAGGGGGAACTTGTTTGGTTTGAATTCTTTCGCGACTTTCGTTTCGTAGGCATCCATTATATTATGGTACCTTTCTTCGTGGCAGAACAATGTGCATCCTTCACCTTTACATTTAACATACGCACGTTCATTCGTCTTAGACACGATTCTCTCGAGGCCTGCACCACAGAAACATGGATATTTCTCAATGGAAACCATGATGTTCAAATTATTTGCTCTCCTAACACAGATTTAACACGTTTATGAAGCACTGTTCAAGTTGTGTGTGCAACAAGAACATTTTCCACCTTTTTTAAAGTGTTGGCCTTCACATGAATAATCATTTACCAACGCATGATTTTCTTTAAAGAAGAATAGGTCTCATTCATACTGTGAGTGAAGAATTGAATAGAACCACATTCACGTGTAAGACTCACGCTTGTTCAAATCGGTAACCCTTTTTGGTACATTGTTTGATATCTTTCTTTCCAGAGGGTCACATTATCAATTAACTGCATAACTTTCCTATGTATGATAATGTCCACACCGTAGGATATTATCTTCACAACATGATTTTTCTTTTTAATTTCTCTTCAATATTGACTCGCGTTCAAAACGATACTTTATTCACATTGTCAGGCATCTTTCGTGGGGTCCTTATCATTTACTAAAAGCTCTTTTCATTTCCCTTAATATTGACTTATGTTCATGCCGCTCCTTTATTCGCATTGTCAGGCATCTTTCGTGGGGTCCTTATCATTTACTGCATCATTCCCCCTCAGTAGGATACTGCACAAATCTTACCCACGCCTCATTATTCAAGGTCATACTATTCAATGGTAATTTTTAATTTACACTTGCGTGATGGCAACGAAGGTCACATCTCAAGCGCATGCACTGTGTACTTCAACCACTTGAAATACTAAGTGTTTTGTATGTGCTAAGACGATAAAAACTCTGCAAAAAATCAAGACACACAAATCGCAAAGTCAGAATGGCATCACCACAAGCGTCGTTTTATACTTTCAGTAAGTACCGTTTGTCTTTTTTCTGTTCCTTAGGGTGCTTGTATTAACTTTAACAGAGACGTCGATTTTTTTTTTTAGAAAAATGTGATCACTGTGAAGATTACATTGTTAAGCCTTCGTGTGGGCATGTAAGCCACCTTGCCGCGGTGATCGAAAATATGTTTAACAAGACGAACATTCAGTTTGAATGTCTCGTTTGTGGGTATGTACATCTATAAAGATTTTTTTCAAGGTAAAATTAATTCATTACAATTAAAGTCATTTAACTTTTTTTGTTCTTATAGAATTACGGATTCAGAGACGGATCGTCTAATAAAAGACCTTATCGAGTAAGTTTTAATTCGTTTGTAGTTGTCGTAAAATGTTTTTTTCTATATAATATTACATCACTTACGTATATGTATACAGAAGTGCTAACATGTAAGCAGTAAATTCATACATGTTTCTTATATTTCTTTTAGAACTATGTGTAATGGTTTGACCTTACAAATTGAACAAGAATAAATAAAAATATATATTTACAAAAGCTTAACGACTCGTGTTTCAAGTTTGTTCTTTTTATCCGAAACAAATATTTTACGCCAGTCGTTACAAGTGTATTTTAGTATCTCAAGTCCATTAACGGGTGGCTTGACATCTTCAATGCTTTTCATAAAATCTTTGATCACAATCTCTTCGGACACATTTTCCAAGGCATCATCAAAATGCAACAACATACGCTCGTCATGCTCCATCATGAGACAGTCATGCTCACGCTGAGAGGGGTGATGGATCATGCATCCATTGCAGTTCTTATTTACTTCAGCGTTTATCATTGCAGCAATTTCTTCAGCATAGCAGTCTAAAAGTTTATTTTCTAACAAACTTTGACGTACAGTTATTTCATTCTTTTCCGACTCCAAAAGCAATTTGTTCATTCTTAATGCCAGATCAATGTCTACATTCAATTCCATTTGTTTCAAGAGATAGAATGTAAACCTTTCGATAAAGTATAAACTATAAAATGCAATTACCTCGCTTTCTACCGTTTTTACCTTCGATTGTGAAAAGGAAACGGATCTAATGTTACTTTGTCAATAGCATGCAACTTCCAGCTTTGTCGTATTTCCGATTTTCACGCCACCCAATGCCATGCCATGTTTATTAAACCCTATTTCCGGTTGACATGCGCGCGCACCGATCAACTTCATGGGGACTGGAAACTAACTGGCACGGATAAGAGCTCTGTGACAAAAGTGTGACAAAGCTGCACGATAACTACTTACCTGATAACCAAAATACCTTTTTCGGGAGGGGGATAACGGATTTGATAAAATAATGATAAAAATATTTTCATACCATTCTTTTCCACATATAAACTAAGGCTACTTCCTCCTTCATTACTGTTGTAGGACCACAATCGGTGTTTACCTTGTCCAAAAAATACACCCTGCATGGAATCACCCATAGCTGAAAAAACTGGAAATTTGTGTAAACTGTGCATTAGGTTCTTCCATAAATTATATTTTTTCGTTTTATACATTTGTCAATACCATTCGAACCATACATTTAAATATTTTGTTATTGACGCCTTAAATCCACACCAATATCGTATTTTCGTCACACGAGCACTGTCACAATAGCGGATATACGGCTTAACTGCTTAAATATTGTGTAATATTGTAGCCAGTAAGGAATGTTGTTGACAGTAAGGAAAGGTTAAAGGTAAGGTTAGATTCCTTATTTTTTTTAAACAACCAAATTCCAACCTCATGGAAATCATTCAATGAATCAATTTTGATGAACTTCAACTGATGATGTAAAACATTCGTACATAAAATGGAGGAAAGATTCAATCGCAGCGAAATTTTGTATCTTTTCATGGATACAAAGACGAGCCAAGATTATAATGACAGACTCTTTTAATATTCTACGACTGTTTGCATGTTTGCTTCATTGTTACACTTTTTTTTCATTGCTTTGCTATTACAAATATCATTTTATATGAATTATATTTAGAAAGACAATGATCCCAGGGAAACGAAAAACTTAAAGACAACAACAGCAATACCTTATATCAAAGGTACGTCTGAGACTATCTCGCGTATCTTACGTCCATACAACACACGTGTCTCTCTTAAACCAATTACAACGTTACGACAAGCACTAACAAAATTCAAGGACAAAGAACAACCAAACGAACGATAATAAACTTTCGGCAATGTGCAGTTTAGCTCCGACTGCCATACCTCCTATATCGGGGAGACAGACAGGAACTTCGTCAAAAGACTTCCTGAACACAAACGACTAACAAAGAAACAAGATAAAAATAATAACATTGCCGAACATCACCGAATGACAAAACACAACATTGACAGTGACTCGGCAAAATGCATTACTACACCACTGACTACAGACAACGGCTTACATTCGAAAGGTGGATCACAACAATTAACGACTTATTCCCAATCTCAAAAAAAGGAACTATTCGCATTTGGACTATAGCTAATCACAATAACAATACGCAATTGACACCCACACACTCACTCATTTCCTACACATACAATACGATGAAGTATAAACCAGACCAAAAATACGGCAAACCAGACTCTGAAATTGACCACTTCTGAGGGCTAAGGTTGTCAAAACACCAACAGTCCTTCTCAGGACTCTACTAACCAGGGCCATCTACATCTACGCACTTAAAATTTTAGATAGCAATAACTCATGATTAATCGAATATGACTTTTTTCAAACGACATTCGTATTTTTGTGGATATTGGTTGATAACATTTGAAAGAGGACTAAAGTTATCAAAACTTCAGTTTTTCTCATTCCTGATTTTCCCATCCCTGCATTCCATTTGCCCATTCCTTTTTTACAGATAGCCGAAAGAATTTTTGTTAATTTTGATGCTCAGTTGAGCATCGAAACTTTGCATATCACCACCTCAAAGAGCCGTTTTGACTTCACATGCAAACACTTTATACTTGCCGAATGTCATCACAATATTTTCAGCATGTCTTCAAAATGCAACAGTAATTATACTATAATAACAAAAGCATGTACATGTTGAATGTACAAATAACTTGGATAAAACAATGATCATTGTTAGATGCTCGTACATGTAGATCATTCACGTTAATAAAATATTGAAAGATGGTTAATTGCTGTGAGGGCTGTCTGACGCGGCAGAGGTCTCGTTCTGAAGATGAGACGGATTTCGTCAATTGACGGCTAACCCTTTCTTTTGTCGCTAAGTTTTGTGTTCAAATTCAAAGAATGTACACAATACTTGTCATTATTTCGATTGACCAAAGTTTGTTAATAAATTATTTGGAAATTTCGTAAAACACCCTTCGTAAAATAACCTCTTATTGTCGATTTCAGTTAACTTTTCAAATGGCGGATGCCAAGTTACTTTCTAATGTTGCCAACTACATTTTCAATTATGGAATATTCGATATGAACTTGTCAACTTGAGTTGACAAGTTGTGTATGAGTACTGAAGTTGTGAACTTGAGTACTGAAATTGTGTTCTTGAGTACTGAAGTTGTGAACTAAAGTTGCGAAGTACAGGAAAACACGAAAGGTCTTTGTACCCTGTAGACATTTGGCAATGAATCCGTTCAGTAAGCAAGGAAAAGCTTTACCAATAGAAGTAAGAAATGAAATACTTGAAAGGTGGTTAAATAACGAGCGTTTGAGAAACATTTCGAAACAACTATACCTACCGTATAAGACTATATCAAATATAATAGATCTATGGGTAGACACTGGTTCTATTGCACCTCGCCAGAGCGAACGTGATGTTCGAACGCGCGTACAGATGACGTTATTGCATACACTGAATAAAAATTAATAAACCATCTATTTAGGCAACACCTAGAAAATAACAAAGTTTGCCTTCCAGCAAACATACGTAGAAGGTCATCCATTAGTAGAATTTTGAAAAATGATCTTGGTTACTCTTACAAGATAATAAGTCAAATTCCTCGAGAGACCGAACGGCCGGACGTTATGAAGAAGTTAGAAGCTTACGTAGCAAATATTTCATTGATTGATTGCAACCGTATGCATTTGTTTGATGAGTCGCCGGTAGTTGCTACGAGTGGCAACAGACGTCGAGGGCACAGTATGCAGGGTACTCCTGCATTTAAAATACAACGATACTCTTCTAGTGCCACATTTACTGTAAATTTATTACATAATGTAAACGGCGTATCGCATTATAACACTCTTAGAGGGCCGTCAAACGGATTAGAATTGCTAAAGCTTTTCCTTGCTTACTGAACGGATTCATTGCCAAATGTTTAAAGGGTACAAAGACCTTTCGCGTTTGATAGTACTTCGCAACTTTAGTTCACAACGTCAGTACTCAAGTACACAGCTTGTCAACTCAAGTTACTTAGAAAGTAACTTGGCAACCGCCATTTGAAAAGTTAACTGAAATCGACAATAATCAGTTAGGTAGACAGCCAGCAAATTTCATAGAATCGCTGTGTAAAATCTTTGAGGTCATTTTGCGCAAATTATTTACTACCTAGTTCAAGCAAAAAATTGGACAATTCAAATCACGCTTACGTACCTCTAAAAACAAAACGTACCAAAAAAGTTCCGTGTTACAATCAGTGATTCCACTGGAAATCGTACTTGCCAGTCTAGCTTACGAATTACAAATAATCACCTAACATACATTCATGTCATTAAAACACAAATCTTTACATTCAACTTCCGTAAGATGACAGGACATCGATGAAAGACAATGTGTCTTTATATTGAGGCTTGGTAGAGGCGTCAAAAAGTCTGTATTATCACTTTTATCGGACGCCGACAAAGATATTTCGTATTGTTTGTTTTATAGTATTATACAACAAAAATCTCGTCAGTTTATGGAACGTATATTTATGTGACTAAAGACTTTTATCAAATAACAAAATTTTGCCGACATGCTTTTATTGCATTATAACAAATAATGAACATCATACAACTGGGTAATTTCAAATAACCAAATTTCTCGACGTGATTTCTTATTTGATAATTTCAAATAACCAACATAACTTTTACACACGTTGTAAACCAAGTTACGTCACAACTGTATGAGCACCGCTGATATTTCAACGTGAAATATAAACTACAACTGATCAAAATTTCATTTGACAATACTTAAAAGAATACAAAATGTAAACAAAGTTTTCTGCTTCATATTATAGATATATTTTCTATGATATTTTATATCATGACAGCGATAATCTTTTTACAAGCTAACAGATGCACATATAAGTAGAGCGTACTCTAAATCCGTAAGAGTTGTAAGGTAAGATTAGATTCCTTATGTTTTTTTTTAAAAAAAACCAAATTGCAACCTTATGGTAATCATTCTATGAATGAGTTTTGATGAACTTAAACTGATCATGTGAAACATTCGTCCATAAAATTGAGAAAAGATTCAATCGCAGCGAAATTTTGTATTGTTTCATGGAAACAAGGCAGAGCCAAGATTATAATGACAGACTCTTATTCTACGACTGTTTGCACTTTTGTTTTATTGTTACTTATTTTTTTTTATTGCTTTGCTACTACAAATATCATTTTATATGAATTATATTTAGAAAGACAATGATCCCAGGGAAACGAACAACTCAAAGACAACAACAGCAATAACTTATATCAAAGGTACGTCTGAGACTATCTCGCGTATCTTACGTCCATACAACACACGTGTCTCTCTTAAACCAATTACAACGTTACGACAAGCACTAACAAACGTCAAGGACAAAGAACAACCAAACGAACGATAATAAACTTCTGGCAAGGTGCAGTTTAGCTCCGACTGCCACACCTCCTATATTGGGGAGACAGACAGGAATTTGATCACAAGACTTCCTGAACACAAACGACTAACAAAGAAACAAGATAAAAATAATAACATTGCCGAACATCACCGAATGACAAAACACAACATTGACCACTGTCAATGCATTACTACACCACTGACTACAGACAACGACTTACGCTCAAAAGATGGATCACAACAATTACCAGCACCTTACAAACGACTTCTTCCCAATCTCAAAAAAATGGGAACTATTCGCATTTAGACTAAAGCTGACCACAATGACAATACGCAATTGACAACCACACACCCACTAATTTCCTGTACATACAATACGATAAAGTATGAACCAGACAAAAATACGGCAAACCAGACGTTTACTCCTCACTTGACTCTGAAAATGACCACTGCTCAGGGCTAAGAATTACAAAACACCAACAGACCTTATCAGGACTCTACTAACCGGGGTCATTTACATGTACGCACTTGAAATGTTACATAGCAATAACACATGATCAATCAATTATGACTTTTTTCAAATGACATTCGTACTTTTGTGGATATTGGTTGATAACATTTGAAACAGGACTAAAGTTATCAAAATTAACAAACCTGAGTGTCTTTCCGGTTTTACAAATTTCAGTTTTTCTCATTCCTGATTTTCCCATCTCTGCATTCCATTTCCCCATTCCCCATTCCTTTTTTACAGAAAGCCGAAAGAGTTTTTGTTAATTTTGATGCTCTGCTGGGCATCGAAACTTTGCAAATCACCACCTCAAAAGGCCGTTTGACGTCACATGCAAACACTTTATACTTGCCGAATGTCGTCACAATATTTTCAGCATGTCCTCAAAATGCAACATTAATTATACTTATATAACAAAAGCATGTAGATGTTGAATGTACAAATAACTTGGATAAAACAATGATCATTGTTAGATGCTCGTATGTGTAGATCATTCACGTTAATAAAATATTGAAAGATGGTTAATTGCTGTGAGGGCTGTTATCAGTTTAAGTTCATCAGTTTAAGTTCATCAAAACTCAAAGATAAGTATAGTCGTCTTTTTGACATCCAAACTTTGGAGAGTCAACTTTCCTTCATTTACAACGACAAGGACTTTCACAAAGAGTGCAGTAATGAGGTTCTTAAATACATCTTCAAATTTAATCTCCAGTCGAGTTTAGGTCAAGTGGTAAATTTGTTAAAATTGAATGGTGTGTTGGCAGTGGCAAGTGTTTCAGTAGAGAGGTCGTTTTCTTGCTTAAAAAGGGTAAAAAGCTATTTAAGAAATAGAATGGGTCAAGGTTGGCTTAGCTCTTTGTGTAGAATATCTATCCACAAAGATATCATTGAAAAGAAAGAGTAATCAGGGGTGTTGCATAACGAGGTGGTTGAAAAATTTGTAGAATAACCCAGGAGGCTGGCCTTTCTTTATAAATGATGAGTATAGTATGTGTTTTGATATTTGTTCGTATAATACATGGTACTTCATTGAGAAAATTTAGCATAACTTTAAAGAATAAAGCCATCCCTGTCTACTTGCCCCAATCTAAACAAGTTTAAACTAACAAGTAGAATGCTAAGAAAAATCTCTCTCTATGCACTTTAGAAGTGTCGTATACTATATTATTTTTTGTGCTAATACAAATTTCTTCTGTTTATGCAGGGGCAGTGATGAGTAAATTATGTTTTAGGGGACAATTGTCTCCTGCGTAACGTTTCTCTGAGCCACCTTTAGTACCTTTTTAACTAGTTGCAGTTTCAACGATTGCCACATTAAGAGTGCAGCCAACATAAATGGGTTTTTATAAATTATTGTACAACAAATAATTCGCCCTCGAAATCGCAGGAAATGCTGTTTCCAAGGCTCTGGATTTCAAAATTTTACGGGGGAGCATGCCCCCGGAACCCCCTAGTGGGGTCGCGCCTCCGGCGCGAGATGGATTGGTGGGAGGGACTATTTTTCCTAGCTACGCCACTGTTAAAGATAAGACGGTTCTCGACAGTTGACGGCTGACCCTTTCTCTTGTCGATAAGTATTGGGTTCAAATTCAAAGCATGTTCACAATACTTGTCATTATTTCGATTGACCAAAGTTTGTTGATAAATTCTTTTGAAATTTCGTAAAACACCCTTCGTAAAATAACCTCTTAATCAGTTACGTTGACAGCCAGCAAATTTCATAGAAGTGCTGTGTAAAATCTTGAGGTCATTTTGCGCAAATTATTTACTACCTAGTTCAAGCAAAAATTGGACAATTCAAATCACGCTTACGTACCTCTAAAAACAAAACGTACCAAAAAGTTTCGTGTTACAATCAGTGATTCCACAGGAAATCGTACTTGCCAGTCTTGCTTACGAATTACAAATAATCACCTACGAAATTGATAACGTATGCATATACGCATGTTATAAAAACACAAATCGTTAAGTTGAACTTCCGCAAGATGACAGGACATCGATGAAAGACAATGTGTCTTTATAATGGGCTTGGTAGAGGCGTCAAAAAGTCTGTATTATCACTTTTATCGGACGCCGACAAAAATATTTCGTATTGTTTATTCTATAATATTATACAACAAAAATCTCGTCAGTTGATGGAATGTATATCTATATGACTAATGACTTTTATCAAATATCAAAATTTTGCCATTATGTTTTCATTGCATTATATCAAATAATAAACATCACACCACTGGGTGATTTCAAATAACCAACATAACTTTTGCACACATTGTTAGACAAGTTACATGTTTGTAAATGTAGATCGTCCAGTTTGGTATAGTCCTGAGAAGGACTGTTTTTGTTGTTGTTGACTGACGTTTTGACAACCTTAGCGGTAGTCATCTTCAGAGTCAAATGAAGAGTGAACGTCAGGTTACCGTATTTGTTATCTGGTTCTTACGTCCTTGCAGCGGTGATTGAACCAGAGTTGTTGGCGTATGCGTCTGACGTTGCTTGCAAAACGTATGTAGTCGTTAGCAATTGTTCGCTCTGTCGTTTAAATGATCATAGTAAAGTAAATGGTTTGAAACCGGGAGTATCGTTACAAGTTTGTAAATGTAGATCGTCCAGTTTGGTATACTCCTGAGAAAGACTGTTTTTGTTGTTGTTGACTGACATTTCGACAACCTTAGCGGTAGTCATCTTCAGAGTCAAATGAGGAGTAAACGTCAGGTTAGCCGTATTTGTTATCTGGTTCTTACGTCCTTGCAGCGGTGGTTGATAGATAGATAGATAGATAGATAGATAGAGAGATGATTTATTTCTTAAAACTGGCAGCCATATTGCTGAAATACGTTTAAGATTACATATAATACATACATAAATAAATTAACTAAATTACATCTTCAATGAGTTATCAGTTATAAAACTATTTCTAAAACGTTTGGTGTTAAAATTAGTATTAAATGAAGATTGAGTCCTAAGTTCCATAGTTGAACGTTCTAAACGAGGAGGCAAAAGGTCATGAAGCTTATGGGAGGAATCTGCTGCTATCTTCTGAAACAACGCTGTTCAGCGTTGCATACTCCAAGAGCATACTCCAAGACAGGTCTTATACACGTTTTGTAAAATTGGAGCAATTCCTTGACTTCGATATTTGCTCGTTCTAGTTGAATAAGATAATAGAGGCGTTTACGGCATTTCTTAATTATTTCATTTACGTGGGTTTCTTAATTATTTCTAAATTATTTCATTTATGTTCCACTTAAGGTTACTGGCTATGAACATTCCCAAAACTTTCGCGTGTTGGACAATATCCAGTGTAATGTTATTGATAGTAATTGGTTGAAGGTCATTGGTATTAGATCCAAAAGAAATTCGCATCTCTTTACATTTGGTTTCATTTAACTGGAATTTATCACACGAGATGCTGTTCGCTAATGTGTCCATTTGGTTTTGTAAGTTACTTGTTTGATCTTTCTCAATTACTTCACTAACAGTGGTATCGTTCACGAATTTCCACATTTCATTATTTGGTAACCTGAGATCGTTAATTATTATCAAAAATAGCCGAGGCCCCAATTTTGTGCCCTGAGGAACACCTGCAGGCACGAGTTCCCACTCTGAAAAGCAATCGAATTTCAGCTTTACTTTTTGTTTCCTGGAAGAGAGGAAATCCATAATCCAGTGTAGAACCCATTTCGGTATATCGAATGAGCGTAGTTTTTCAACCAATAAGTTATGACCAATCAGATCAAAAGCTTTCTTGAAATCCAATAACAGCACACGAACGGCCGCCCCGTTACCATCAGCTGCTTTATTCCACGACTGTAACATACTAAGTAAAGCTATAGTTGTGCTTGAATTTGGAATTTCCCCATACTGATTAGAGTCTATCTTTTTAAGTACAGCTGGTTTGACATAATTTTCCACAAAAAACTCCTCGGCTACTTTTGATACAATCGCAGTAAGTGATATAGGCCTTAAGTGTTTATTAACATCTCTTACAGGTTTCTGCTTTGGAATCGGTAGAATATTTGCTTTTTTCTATAATTCTTGTAATTGGGCCTCTTTAAAGGAGCTGTTTATAATATCTGCCACGGGAGCGGCCAATAAATCAGCATTCTCTTTTAGAACCCAGAAGGGAATACCGTCTGGGCCAGTTGCTTTCCTTGCGTTAAGAGTTGACAACATCTTGAAAGCAGTAAACTCAGTTACAGGCAACAACCTCGGGAAATCATCAATCTCATTATCAAAGCATAAGTGTTGGAGCAGTGGATTAAAATCTTTCATGGGTGTTAGAAAGGATTCGTTGATCATGTTTTCAAGTTGCTCAGAAAAATGATAAGAGGGTGTTAGTGCATTATCAATATTTTGCAAGGTTGACATCATATCTTCCTAGTAAGAAACCAACGGTGAAATACCACATAACTTTTTGATTTCCTTCCACCAACTTGCAGATGAACACGATTTTAAATGTTCTACTTTGTTTTGGTAAAAACGTTTCAGACAAGATTTTCTTTCTCGCGTAACTTGGTTTCTTAATTTCTTGAAAGAGTTAAGGTCTTTTTGTGCAAAAGCTTTTTCCCTTCGGCGGATCAGTTGTTTTAGCGATTTGGTAATCCAACGAGGCTCATTATTGATCATCACCTTCTTTTTTGTGGGGAGTAGGAAATCAAGACCAAAGTTAATGATGAGCTCTAACATTTTCATTTTGTCGTCACTATTTCTCATTTTGTCGTTACTATTTCTTCCTACCCACTGTTCGACATTAACTTCTTCTAAATATTTACCAAAGGCCGAACGTTTCGATGGTCGCAAATCCCTTGACATTACCACTACTTTAGTCCCAGAGTTTTCAGATATTTTTAATGGTTGCACTTTTACGGCTACATGATCGGAGAGTCCAAAGGGAGGACGTTTAATTGGAGAATCGTAAAATTTTTTCAAATTGGTTAAAATCAAATCCAGGTTACTATTGCCACGAGTAGGGAAATTTACGATCTGACGCAATTGGAAACTATTCTTTAACAGACGAACGTTCAATTTGTTAAAATCGCCCGAGATAATTATCCCACAATTTGAAAATTTTGTTTCAAGTGTTAGTAGTGATTCAAAAAGATAATTGATCATAGACTCATCATTCGCGCCCGGTGGGTGGTACAAATTACATAAAATAATATTGGACACACCTCTTGGTAAGCGGGTCAGTCTTAGATCTAATCATAATGCTTCGAACTCATTTGTTAAAAGGTCTTGCAGGATGCTAAAGTTAATTGTATTTCGAATATAGACGCAAACACCACCATGAATTCGTTCACGTCTATCACGTCTAATTAAATTATATCTGGGTAGTGAAACAATGTTATCATCAATATGACTTTGCAACCAAGTTACCACGATGCATAAAATATCCACAGTTGAACTGGCAATGTACGCATGTAATTCATCGATTTTGGGGGCCAGCGACATGATATTAGACAACATTATGGATGGTACAAATACATTTGGTCATCCACGACGTTTAAAGGATACTCTTGGAATAATAATACAATTGCTTTTGTTATGACCAGACGGTCTGCAACGGGAACGTAAGTTATAATGATCGCTTGGATTAAGAGACGATCTTACTAGTGTAGGTATTGTTCGAACGAACTCAAGCGATTGTGTGATAGGCAAAAAACACTCTAATGTACTATCTTCTTTTTCTTTAAAAATGTCTTTAACTATAAATTGATCGTGTTGGTGTTGTTGGCTGTCGCTTTTTCTACGTAGCACAGGTATTTTCTCCAAGACTTTTGTTGTTCCTCTCTGAATTCTTTCGTCAGGCTGAATTCCATTGGTAATTTCTGTTGATGAGAATGACGATGCTGGAGATGCCAAGAAGTCAACTGAGGATTCTGCAAAGGAGCTTGTTGATGGAAGTATTGGTGATAAGGGCGTCGTTGGAACGACTGACGATGCCGAAAATGGGTTTGTTTATGGCCTGTTGCGGTGGAATGTACTCGCTTCGTTACTCTATCACTTCGTGTGATTTTTAAGTCTTTATCTACTTCAGAATTAAAGTTGCTCTGACATTTTCGTTGATGCTCGGTATTCTGAGAGACAAGCTCGTTGCTAGGAATTTCATTTCTTTGCACTTGTTGGTTTTGAGTGTTAATCGTTTCGCTGACTTTACAGCTTTGATAATTACTCCGCTACTTACATTGATATTCATGTAATTGGGACTCAAGTTGATTTAAGCATTTATTACTATGGAAATCTTTCTGATATTTGCTTTGTTGCTTTCGTCGATACTGAATAAGCTGTTTATCAATTTGAACTTGAGTCGTTCTTCTACTCTTGCAGCCTTGACCTGCTGGGATTTTACTGAGTCCTGCACGCCTACGCTTGTCTCGAGATTAGCAGGTTTTGCATTACAAATTAAGGGCACATTGTTTTGCGATGCAGTCGTTTCGTCATTTAAAGGAATTTTAGGTTTAATAGTTGGCGTGGCATGTGACAAAACAAGCACTTCACTTCCATCTTTGTTAAGCGTGACTTTAGATTCAAATTTTCTTTTGTCAATTTGCATATATCTTGCTTGTTTCTAAGTATGACTGCCTTTGTTCTGAAATTTTGCCACCATTTTAAAATTTTGAAATTTTGAAATTTTTCTGTTGTCAATTTGCATATATCTTGCTTGTTTCTAAGTATGACTGCCTTTGTTCTGAAATTTTGCCACCATTTTAAACACCGTTAATTCAATTTGATTTTTAAACTCATCAAACTTGTCCTCTGAGGATGTTACAGCGTCTCCGGCTCGACAAGGAGTTGCGCTGATAAGAGTTTCCGTTAAATCGTCCTTATTTGTTCGTGACGAAAGTTTTTGAAAGGAACTATCAATAAAGTCCTGTAACTCCTCGATTGTCGACTGGTCAAAAGCCGATACA